TGCCGCCAAGCAGAGCCCAGAGCATTCAAGTGCGAAGACACCCTGTGATCATCCTGTCTAAGCACCTTCTGCCCAAGGTGGAAAAACGCTGTGTAGAACGGTTAAGGTCACTAGGAAGTCATTTGCCTTCCTTCTGTTAATAGCAGTGAGGCAGCACCCTCAGCTGCACTGCACCTGAAAGACAAAGGCTCTAGAATCTCGCCAGGGCCCTGCCCTGTGGATGACACCTGCGTGTTGGAGGAAGCCCCGGAGGAGCTATGTTCAGCACAATGCCACAAATTAGCCTTGAGTACTGAGAATAAGCTTTTTCAAAAAAGAAACAAGTGGACACAGTAGAAGCCCAAAGAGGTTTGGAGGACACTAAAACTCCAGTGCCCTTCTCCTCTGCTTCTGCTACAGCTCTTCTCCCTCTTTTTGGGATGAGGGGACCCCTGAGTTGATCTGAGCTGAATGCAGGACCAGCTCCTGGCATTGGTTTTCCTACAGCAGCCCATGTACAAAATTGAGAACACCTGGGTTCATAGCTCTTTGTAGGCAATGGGTCTATCTGGCTGTGTTAGCATTTACTAAATTCTCAAATGCGGTGGGAAATGCATGAGGCAAATCCTTGAGAAGAGAAGCAGTGAATAAAGCCACTGAAGTCATCATTTAAGAAATACGGCCGGGCGTAGTGGCTCACGCCTGTAATACTAGCACTCTGGGAGGCCCAGGCGGGCGGATTGCTTGAGGTCAGGAATTCGAAACCAGCCTGAGCAAGAGCGAGACCCTGTCTCTACTATAAAATTAGAAAGAAATTAATTGGCCAACTAATATATATATATATAGAAAAAATTAGCCAGGCATGGTGGTACATGCCTATAGTCCCAGCTACTCGGGAGGCTGAGGCAGGAGGATTGCTTGAGCCCAGGAGTTTGAGGTTGCTGTGAGCTAGGCTGATGCCACGGCACTCACTCTAGCCCGGGCAACAAAGTGAGACTCTGTCTCAAAGAAAAAAAAAAAAGAAAAGAAAAGAAAAAAAGAAGAAATAGCAACAACTTTGATCTACATGCCCCTGTCCCCTCTGCATCAGATGGAACTTCTTCATTAAGTATTTTGTTAGCAAAGCAGTAACCCGACACAAAAAGCACTGAGTATAGATTGGAAGGTCTGGAGATGGATGATCAGAAGGCTAAGCACTCTCTAAACACTGCGGTGTCTAACAGGATGTTAGAGGCCAGCTGTCCGGCCCCACCTATATGGAAGCCCATTCAGCCAGTGAGAGGAGCATCTCAAACACAGCCTTGCGCATGCCCTGGCAGCTTTGTCCACTGGCCAACAGGTGCACCTGACCCAGCCAGCGTCTTGGAGGAGGCACCTGACTGACATCTTTAGTGACCAGTCAGATGGAGCCAGTTGAGAAGGAAGGGGAAGGGGAGTCCAGGTAGCATGAACGGAGTGTGCAAGGCCATAATGCTGATACTGAGCCTGGGGTTTTCGCCAAGCTGATCACAAGTACACATGACAAGAAGGTGGCACAGAGGAGGGACTGGGGGATGAGCGGCTGCACCAGAAGGGCCTCAGTGCCATGCTGAGACTCTGGACTCTGGCCCTGGGGCTACAGCCAGAGATTTCCACTGTAAGAGAAAGGTGCATTTAGGAAAGGGAACAGAGTTTAGTGCAAACCAGGAATAGCGAGCAAAGGGGGAGGCTGGGAGAAAGGAGAAGGTGAGTGCACGGGAAGCACTCACCCTGCTTGTCACCAGCAGCTGGCCCCCCGGGCAGGAAGTGGCCAAGGCCAAGAGAGGAACTCAGAGTTCCCCGTGGAGAGGAGGGCAGGAAAGTTGTCACAAAGGGGCCGTGTTTGCAATTGGCGGTGCAGGGAACAGGACTCCAGTAAAACTGGGAAGGGGTGGCATAGGAGAACAGGATCATGGGAGGAGAGTGTGAGACACAGAAGACGGGGGAAAGCTAGACGGCACACATGCAGGAGACAAGACGGGCAAAGGGGCGGAGTCCCAGGCACAGAGAGTGAGAGCTTGAGGAACCCGGTGACAGACAGGCAGGAGCTGCCCAGCACAGAGCCTGGCTGCAAAGACTGCAAACATCAACAGATGGAACGGGGTGTGTGGGGTGGAGAGAGTGAGGAGGAGGAGGAGGGAGAGAAGGAGTATAAGTCTATAGTTCCATTAAATTAACATCCTCTTGACTGTCTCAAAATTATTTATCAGCTGACAAGAAGGCAACTATTACTGTGCCTTAAAATCCTTGTACCTACAATTTCCTTTCCAGATAAACTGGCTTAGCAGAGAGGGGTGGAAAAGTCTGCCCGCCTCCCTCCTGCCCCCATCTCCTGGGAGGGGATGCCCCAACCAGCACTTCCCCTCAGGGCACCCACCCAAGTGGGTCAGATCATGGGGTTCTCGGTTAGACAGGAGCAGGCCTGCGCGGGCCTCGGGGTCCCGTGCTCAGCAGGGCGGGCCCTGGGCGCAGGCAGGCACGGAGGGCCACCTCCACCCACTCGGGGACGCGCCTCTGCCTCCTTGGGAGTCACCACACACTTCCTCGCAGACCTGACTGGGAGGGCTGGGGCAGGGCCGGGGTGCGCCCTTCCCACCCTAGACGGTGTCCGGGCGGACGTGCCAGCCAGCCAGTTCCGCGGCTGAGGGCTGGTCCTATGCACGGCACTTCCTGTCCCATCAGAGGGACACTGTCACCTCATTAAGTAGCTGCTCTTCGAGCACCTTCCATGCCCCAGGCCCACCAGGCCTGCTGGAAGCAGGGACGCTCCCTGCAGGCACGCGCGGGCCACCGTGAGGGGCTTCCCCGCCTTGGGTTGTCAAAGGAGCCAAAGCAACCACACAAGCGCAGGACAAAGTGATGCGGCACTTAGGAGGAAGGAGAGAAAGACTTCTTCCTAGAATGGCAGACCCTTGATGAGGAAAGGGGGCAGAAAAATTCTGTAAAGTCTTAAATATGCCTTTATGGGTCCAAGTGTCTATTGTGTCATAGAATATTTGAAAATCTCTTAAAACACTGTGCTCTGCCTCACAGTTAGTGGCTGTTTGCATGCTGTTCCTGCAGAATGGTTAACAGGGACGTGTGGCCGTGGGGGAGGACCGGGAGGTCCTGGAGGCCCGGGCAGCCGCGTTGGGCTCCAGCCGCGTGACGGCTCCGCTGGGCTTGTTCCTGTCAGCCCCTCCCAGCCCAGCGACACAAACACAAGTGCTGCAGACACTCGTTGTTGCCTTTTCCTCCTCGGGCTGTCACTGACCCTGACTCACTGACAAACAAGCACAGCCCCCCTCTGACTGTGCCAGGCAGTGCCCCCCAAGCACTCTGGGCTCCCCGCCCCAGAGAACCTTCTGTGCAACCACCGGGGCACAGCAGGTACATGAAATCACTTTCCCTCCCCACAGCCTCTGACGTCAGGGAGCCCCGAGCAAGCTAGTTAAGGAATCTGCTTAGAAAGAAGGTTCTTCCCCCAAAGCATAACAGGGCATCACAAATGACAAGTGTAACAAACGAATTGAATGTCTCTGGGTCATTTTAAAAATGTGTGGGGAAAAAAAAGAAAGAAAAACTTTGCTTCTGGACCAGGTGTGGTGGCTCACACCTGTAATCCCAGTACTTTGGGAGGCCAAGGCAGGAGGATTGCTTAGGGCCAGGACCAGCCTGGGCAACATGGCAAGACCCTATCTCTACAAAATATTTTTTAAAAATAAAATTAGCCAGGCTTGGGGGCACATGCCTATAGCCGCCCCCCCCCCCCCTACTGGGGAGGCTGAGGCAGGAGGATTGCTTGAGCCCAGGAGTTGGAAATTGCAGTGAGCTACAATGATGCTACTGCACTCCAGCCTGGGCAACAGAGGGAGATCTTGTCTCTTAAAATAATAATAATAATAAAACAAAAAAATTTGCTCCCTTCAGGCCATCAATCGAGAAATTATAAAATTAGGATTCCTTTTGGTTAAAATGGACCTAGAAAGATTTAGTTGACCTCTTCCCAATCCAGGAAGGTCCCTCCACTGCAACGTCCTGTCAGACAGGCATGAAGTTCCTACAGAAATATCTCCATCAACAGAGAGCTTCCTCCAAGCTGGGCAACCTACTCATTAGATAGGTGTTTAAAAAATTCTCCTTATGCTGGATTCAAATCTGTTTTATCAGGTCTTCAACTCACTGGCCCTAGGACCAATTTGCCTAAGAAAGTAGATCAATATGAATTTAAATAGGGTTTCTTTGTAAGTATAAATCCAATCATTAGGCAAAGCAACTTGAAGAAGAAAAAAAAATAAATTGATACTTGGAGAATGGAAGAGCAGGAATTAAACCCAAAAACAAAATGTTGTGAGCGGATTTAGGAAAGGCAATCTTTGGGATCACAATAGGTAGCCAAGGGTGAGTCTGAACTCTTGATTGAGAGTTTTGGGAAGCAGAGGAGCTGAGTGTATGCAGTAAGGGATCCTGGCCGGGAGAGGACTAGCAGCTGCAGGACCGGTGGTCAGCAGAGGGGAGAGCTCTGGGACGAAGAAGGACTGGTCTTGTCAAGTTGAGACCATCACTCATCCCTGGGCTTAAATGAGCTGGGCCTGGGGAAAGGGGTGAGGGTGGCTGGTTATGAAGTTTTACTCACCTTCTGTGTGATTACAATGAGTCCCTATGCTTTAGCTGTCTTTCTATAGCTTATGTCTGGGAAATGCTCACACTCTATAAATGTGAAGATGCCACACACAACAAGCAGAGAAATCAGGCCCAGGAACGAGGATAAGAAAGGGAATCAACTGCTAGGACAGGTAACACCTTCATCCTCATGTACACACCTACCTGAAAAACCTTATTTAAGAAGAATATGTTAAGTTCCTGTTTAAAAAAATCCATCTTACATGTAACTAAATCAGAATAGTACCTTTTTTTGTTTTTAGAATAAGTATCTAAAACTCTTGGGTTTTTGTTCGTTTGCCGCTATTGCAACTGACCTCCATGTAGTATTGCAAACACATTCTGAAATCATCAATATTTACCTTTTATTCTGTTAGTCGAAACTCAAAAGAGAATTCACCACGTCTTCATGGGAAACAAGCGATCTCCAGTGTAGATAGAATCTAGGGGAAAAGGGATTTTTTTAAAGTTATAGGATGTAACTTCCAAAGCTGAGTGATATATATATGTATACATTTGTGAGATGGAATGAATTAGTTTATATGTAACCTGTGAAAATACTCAACTACCTCTACTTTATCAATATTCCTCATTCCCATATGACCTAGAAGAGTAGAACTTGAAATCAACACAGTTTCTATAATTCTCCATGTTTTTTTTTTTAACTTGGTTATTTATTTTTTACCTTTTTTTAGGGGATGGGGTCTGGTTCTGTCGCCCAGGCTGAGTGCAATGGCGGGATCGCTGCAACCTTGAACTCCTGGCCGCTGTGCCTGCTTCTACCTGATCACTTAAATTATAATCAAAATTGCTTTAACTGAATCCACTTTAGCCCAGCCTTGCCATTACCTGCTGCAAACAGCCGAGTTACCCCCAGTGTCAGCAATGCACAGTTCCCTTTCTTACCCGCTAACCCCTGGCTACTGCAGCCAGCCACGTGCACCAGCAGTGCAAACAGTGCAGGCGTGTGCAGAGGCAGCAGCGACATCCACCACGCAAAGGAGACATCACCAAGTAAGAAGGGGAAAGTGACAATTACACTTCCTTTATCTGGGTAGGAGGTAGCAAAGTTAATTATATTGGCTGAACAAACTACTTTTCCCCCAGGGTGCATTGAAAATTTCCAAGATTCTGAATAAAATTGAAAAGTGCTATAATTTTTAACAATGCCGCATTAACTAATTCAGTCTGTAGATGCTTTACGGCTGTGAGCCCAGCTAAAGCCCCACTGTCTCCCCTCTGGGATGAGTGATGGCTTTGTCCTGCTGATGAGACCCCTGCTCTGGCCCTGGCTGGTGCCACCTCAGAAGCCAAAGGTCACTCCCAGGTGATCAAATGTCAGGTGCTGCACAGCCAAGCACCTGAAGATGCCATTCAGAACAACACCTGGATTTTTGCCCTGTTCCTGGCTCTGCCAGAATCTCTATTTGCCCTGCTTGGCAGCAGCAAAAGTGAACATTCTTGCAATATTCCTTTGTTCTTCCTCTTGCTTCACCTGGCTGGGTGCTTTGTCTTAGTTTTCTTCCTGTTTGTAGCAGTCACAAAAGGCATGTAAGAGCTGAAATGCACACAACTATGCCACATGTGCAAGACACTCTTTAAAAAATTGTCTGCCTACAAAGATGTCTAGTGTGACGTGGGCAAAAATCCCCAAAAGCTCTCAAGTACGGAGATGCTCAGTTATCCAGTGGTCAGGATATATTTAAGTATGTTAAAACACATTTCCTCAATGGCCTATCAGCCATTAAAAAAGACAAATGTGTAACAGAGAAAGATATTCAGGTTACAATATTATGCAAACACGTTTGAGATCACACTAGTGAAAAAGAACAGAGTTTAAAATTGCATCAAAGTGCTGATTACAACTTTACCAAAAGCATCATTACATAAGGCTGAAGCTACATGAAGCTACTGAAATTATAAAACACAGATATATAGTCAAATAAATGAAAAGAGGGAGTTGGTCGATGTCTGCTAAATTCTCAGAATCTGGGAAAATAGAACGATATAGCTCTTGCTAGGCTTAAAAATATCTGACGCTTTAGAATCAGAATGTTATGATTAGAATGGACATTAGCTCAGCCTTTCATTTCACAGATAAGTCATTTTATGCCAAAAGAAGGTGACTGCTCTGGATCATCCAGCTACTCGCTGGCAGAACTGAGACCAGAACTGCGGTCTCCCCACGCAGGAATCTCTTTTCCATAGCGCACACGGCAGTATGCTCATACAAATAAATCAGGAGCCCATATTATCGGACCATTCATTATCCAAATCCCTCAGGGAAGCACATCTTTAAAACACTAAATTATCTCCTAATAACCAACCTCTTTATTACTTGAGTCCCTATTCAAAACTCCATCCTTGTTCAAAGTCAGTGTCTACGCATGATTCTGTTTGTGAGTGTCTTGTACCTTTCATAAAACCATGTACATCTACTGCAAAGCAAAATTGCAAACCTTGCCCCCAAATACAAAATTGTATAATGTTAACCAAAATGACATTAGAGATTTTACCCAGTAACAGGTAAAACAATGACAAGCGGAGACTGAGAGATTTGATTAGGAAACCATCATTTAAAAGAAATGTTAAAAGTTGGTGACAAGATAGGGATTTCAAAAATGATTTTAGTATTAAAGAATCTAAAAGGAAATCAAAAGAAAATGACCAAGACCTGTACTATTGTTTAAACACTGGTTATCTTTATGATGTGATATAAATGTCAAATGTGGTATTAAAAGTACTACAATGTAGAATCATCTAATTTTGTCAAAAAAGTTACTCTTCCCAAACCAGTCAATGCTTGATTTTTGTATTCTTCATTCTAAGAGCCAGCCATGGTCACAACAATTACCTAAATTTTGCTAAATATAATCTAAAATAAACTCATTTTCATAATTTTTACTTAATTTTTTTCAAGATAAAGTCCCAAAGGTTTTTTTTTTTACCATTATATTAATATTATGCAATTTGGGTCCCCATTTAGGTGGATTTAATTTAAATGGCCTTTTTCTGGTTCTAATTATCCTCAGATAACAAGGACCTGCTGTAGAATCTTCAGAAATAATTTTTTAAAGCATAAATCAGTAACATGGGGGCATTTATATCATTCTGAGCCAAGCATACATTTTAGAAACAGGAACTTCAGATCCAGAAATGTAATACCAAGGGACACCACATCTGTATTTTGTCCCTCTGCTATCAAAAATAATGCATTTTATATTTTAGTTTATACAAAATAAAAACAAAGGTTACAAAATCACAAATGGCTGTATTTGTCTCAATCCTTTTAAAAAATGTAAAAGTATAATAATGCATTTATCGCCCTGAACTACACAATTAAGTTTCCAGGTTTAACATCCTATTTTACACGAACCACGGGAAAACCTTCCTGTGGTCGTTAATATTGCTGATTTGCATATCGTGATTAGTTCCATCATGCAATTATCTGTCATTCTGTACTTCACCTGAGAACAATGCAGTTGGCTGAGTTTTCCTATGTTCAAAATGTTTATTATAGGAAAATAGTTATTATCCAGGGCTGTCTCATGTCCATTTAGATAATGAAAGCTATGCTAGTATCATAAAAATATGAGGCTTCATTTTAGAAGCATCAATTATTCAGTGGAACATTTTCTTCTAGATGAGTAAGAAGAGTAAAAGAATATTTTTTTCTATTAAATAAAACTGCAATGTTCTAGGGTAGAAAGGTATTTTTTCTTTTACTTTTCAATCTGTAACAGAGTTAGGAGTCTAAATGACCAATGATGAACCATTTAAAGTATGTGAGCTAATAAATAACTTTTAGAGGTTCATTTATTGGAGACTTTCCAGTTTCTGTGCCCCAAAAAATAAATAATGTATGATTCAGTGTGTTTACTAATCCTGTCTCCGAGGTCAAGACCAAGATTACTGACTCAGTCTTTCTGCCAAATTTGCTTATCTCTCAAATAAGTGTAAATTTATGGCTCAGGATCATGACATGACTAATAGTTCTTTCCAGATTTCCAGGACAACAAAGCCCCAGCTAGCCCTGTGGTCACCAGAGGCCGAACACCAAAGATTATGGAATACTTGCTACAGCCTACTGTAGGTACACACTTGAATTACCTCACCACTGTTGTCTAAAAACAAGAAAAAAATAAGTTCAGAATCACCCTTTCAAATATTCGAGACTCAGGCTACGCAGAACAGAGGAGCTGCTCTGCCCTGGTCCCCTTCCCGGATTGAAATTCGCAAGCATCGTGAGGGCCAGTAACCAGCTGGTGACATGAGGGCGGCTCCTGCCCACCTCACTGAGGAGCGTCAGCTCTTTTAGAAACAGGAGCTTTCCATGCCAGGAAACGCCATCAAACTATAGGAAACAAAGGATCATGCATTCGACTCTGTTATTTTGGTAAACTGACACAACGTTATAAGTGTCTTTAAAAGTAAATGCATCACTAGACCTGCTATCAACCATAAGAGATGACGTGATTATCATATAAAGCAGAGAACATTCCACCCAGATATGAGCAGTGGGCTCAGGAATCCAAGAGATTCAGCCACTTCCTAATTCCAGGGAGTTTTGTAACTAAAAATCTCTTTCCCCTTCTGTGAAAGGGCTATAGGAGCAAACTCATACGATTCTAAAAGCCTTACATGAGATGATCGGTGTCGAGCATGCAGCACAGGGCCTGGCATACACAAGATGTTCAGGTTTCTATTATCATCATTTTCCCTATATTACCCAGAATAGGATAATTTTCTACTTTTTCTGAACCTTGAAGATGCTACTTTAGATGTTTGCTCTAATTAGAGCTGACCCTTTTATCCCAAAACTGTGACTAGGAATTTATTTGTATTACTATGAAAATGCAGAAAAATAATACTTCAGAATGCAGCATTCCAAAAGTCTCTTTCCTAACAACTACTCCAGAATAGACACAGCCTCTATGGTTTTTGTTTAATGGTCACCAACACCGATGCAGCCCTTAGGAAGTGCACTGCACGCTAGGTGTTTTCCACTCCATAACTCCTTTAATCCCCATCATACTCCTGTAAGGTGAGAACTGTCCTTGTTCCCATTTTCCAGATCAGGAAACTGAGACACGGAACAGTTCAGCAACTTGTCCAGGTGTCAGAGCCAAGTTAGGATTCCAACCCGTCGGGACGGCCCCAGAGCCTGTATTCTCAAGCAGGACACCAAAGGACCTCTGCTCCGTGTGTCTACTTGGGTGCTGGGAGAGCCAAGGAAAGGCAGGCAGGGAAGAGGAAGGAGATTCTCTCCCTATCCCTCAACACGCACATGCACACACAGCAAAGATTTCAGCTGGGCAGACATCACCAAACACATTCTTATTGGCTGCTTCTTCAAATAAACATTTTAAGTTTTTTCTGAAAGGGCAGCCTCTTCCTACAGAACCTGGAGAAGCAGGAGAGAGGGGAGGTCTGAGCTCTCGGC